ATGACGTCAACATTCTATTCAGTAACAGAAAAACAAATCTCATTACATTTTACTTCCCTCTTTAAAATCTGAACAGAAAGCAGACATTGTCATATTGCTCCTTTGTGGCATGAGAGAAAATATTGTGGACTCGCTCAATGAAGAATAAGCTTCTTAATGGCTAAACTAGGAAACGGGTTTTCTCCAAAAAATGGCTTTGAGGTTGAAGTAGGTACTTTGCTTCTGCATATCTGCATATACCTCTTTGAAGGAGGGAATTTGAGTTGCCAGACATTTTCTTCTAAATAATACATAAAAAAAATAACTATATAAATCAAATTCTTTTTCTTTCCATAAACAGGAACATCATCTGTGTATAGTCTGAGCATCTGAAAAACATCCCCGAGAAACACAGTCAAGTGGCACAGGTATTAAGGAACAAGGACTGGTCGAAGATGACCTGTGGCGTTGCAGTCTGGAACAGCAGCGTCCCTGACATTTTAATAATAGAGCTGCTTCTAGTGCTACAGGGGAGGAGGGACTCTGTTCTGAAAGCATACCTCTTAAGGTAGAGGAAACGTTAATGTTTCGTTTCAGGGAGGGTGGAGAGGAGAGAAAACTGTGTCCAATGCTGTAAATGTCAGACATCCAAGGAATTTTAATAAGAGAGAAGTATTAGGAAAGAGAGATACTGACGAGGTCAGTATATCAAGTGGCAGGTGTCTGAAATATTTGGAAGGCAAGTGTTTTCAGCGGAACAGAATTGAGAAACATGAGAGATATAGGAGTGGTGATAAGGTGTCTACATCACAGGGCTGGCATCTGAGGCATTTTTATATCCTGTTTCACGCACCCACTTTTTATTGAGTGCCTACTATGTGTTGGGCTTTTGCTAAGTGCTGGGGATCCAGTGGCGAGTCAAATAGACATGGTGCCTATCCTCATGGAACTTTAAATAAAAAAGGCAAGAACCTTACTTGCAAGGACTGAACAGGACTCCCAACTAGCACTCTATTACCTATAAATTCTTACCAGCACCCACCTTCCTAATGATTCAGACTTATAACACTTGAGTGGTGCCTTCTGATAGGACACCTCTTGACCTCCATGATTTCCCTGCTAAGACAGCTCCCTTCATAAGATCGTTCTCTAGAAATTGTCACCTTTCTTATTCTCCACACTGCAGCCAGAACTGTCCTTAAAATGCAAATAAGATTATACCACTCTCTTGTTTAAGATTCTGCAGTAATTGCCCAATAGCTTTTAAAATAAACTTAAAATTCCTTACCTTTGCACTTAGGAATCTTCCTGATAAGTCCCTAGTCTCTTCTTCTGCCACATCCTCACATGCTTTCCTCTTTCCATTCATGTTGAACTAGAGTTATCCTGCCAGGTTATCTCCCTCCTACTCTAGAATGCCTTCAGTCTTCTTCACCTGGCTTCTACTTATGCTCAAAGATTCATTCTAAAGCTGCAGATCCTGTAGAAAACCTTATCTGACTCCTCAATCTGAGTAGGGATTCCCCTCTTCTGTACTCCTGCATCTTCCATTGCATATCTCCTGTTGTAGTACTTGTTACACCATATTGCATTGTTGTGCATTTCTGCTTTCTACACTGGACTGTGGAGACAGAGCTTGTGTGTTGTTTATCTTTACAGCCTGGCATTTAACACAGATTCATACACATAGTGGATGCTTATCAAGTTTTTAGTAAATGAATACCTCTTTGAAATATTTACTCAAGTTTGTAGCCCTTCCATCTTCTGTTGGGCAACCTTCTATCCATGTCTATCCAGATGAATTGCTCTTCCCTGCAAAATTTGTTCTGGACTTAAGATCCAATCCAGTAGGTACTTGAATACAAGGCAGATGCCAATTGTAATAGTAATAATGGGAGAGGGAGAGGGAGAGGGAGAGGGAGAGAGAGAGGGAGAGGGAGAGGGAGAGAATGAGAATGAGAATGCACACGCGCAAGCGAGCAAGCATGCACTGAGCTATTTGGTTACCTTGGGGTGCTCATACAAGAAATACAGGGTAAACTAAGTCTTCGATTCTTTCACATTGCTCAAAAGATGATTAGTTAAATTTGTTTTGATATCATTATGAACTCATGGATTTTTTTAACATGCTTGATATGTTTCAGTCTACTGCAGATACTATATTTTTGGTATTCAGGTTGTTCCATTTTTGGCCAATTGGAACCGCTTTAAAGTTGCCTCAGAGCCCTAGATGGCCCTGATTTTTCTGAAATGGTATTTCTAGCACATCGAAGTCTATTTTCAGCCTGAGTTCTGGATCAATCATTTCTTGTCTCTTTTAGTGGGAAATGGTATTTGGAAGCCACAGTATGGGTGCTAGGAGTACTTATTTATATAGGGTTGGTCATGTCTCAAGGCCTTCATAGTAGACAGAGCTAGGAATTATTTCTCTTCTCTCTTACAATAAAAATTTTAGTCCTGACAACGTTAATGCAATTGCATACAGACACACATACACATAATTTCAGACTAGCAGTACCAATATATTTAAAAAAAAAATTTTCCTGGCTTTATTAACATATTATAGACAATTAGTTGCTCATATTTACATTATACAATTCAATGAGTTTTTTTTTTCAATTAAAATTGGCATACAATAATATACCAGTTTCAGTTGTATAATCTAGTAATCAGAGATCCACATAACTCACAAAGCGGTCACCCCAGTAAATATAATGCCCCTCTTCCTCCTTACATATTTATTACATTATTAACCATCTTCCCCATGCTACAATCTACATCTCCATGTCTATTCTGTAACTATCCATTTGTACCTCTTAATCCCTTTTCCTTTATTCCCCACCTCCTAACCCCCTCCCATCTAGTAGCCTTCAAAATATTCTCTGTATCTATGAGTTTATTACTACTTTTGTTGTTGTTTATTTGTTCTTTAGATTCCACATGTACATAAAATCATGTGATATGTCTTTCTCTGATCCATTTCATTCAACGCAGTACCCTCTAGGTTGATCAAAGCAATATCTTTCTCCATCTCCTTCTTTTTAGTCTATGTGTGTCTTTTAATCTGAAGTGAGTCTCTTGTAGGCAGCATAGGTAGGGGTCTTGTTTTCTTATTCATTCAACCACTCTATCTTTTGGTTGGAGCACTTAATTCTTTTCCATTTGAGGTATTTATTGATAGGAATGTAGTTATTACCATTTATTCAGGATTTTAATACATGGTTTTTCTTCTTAAAGAAATCCCTCCAACATTTTCTGTAATTGTGGCTTGGTGTTGATGAATTCCTTTATTTTTGTCTGGGAAGCTCTTTATGTCCTTCGACTCTAAATGATAGGTTTGCTGGATAAAGTATTCTTGGTTGTAGATCCTGAGTTTTCATCATGTTGAATATATTGTGCCAAGTCTTTCTGTCCTGAATAGTTTCTTTTGAGAAATCAGCTGCCAGTCTTATGGGTGCACCCTTATTGGTAACTATCTACTTTTCTCTTACTGCTTTTAAGATTCTCACTTTGTATTTTACCTTTGGCATTTTAATTATGATGTGTGTTGGTGTCAGCCTCTTTGGGTTCCTCTTTCTTAGAACTCTCTGAGCTTCCTGGGGTTTCGTGTTTATTTCTTCACAGGTGAGGGAAATTTCCCATCATTATTTCCTCAAGTAGCTTTTACAGTTGTTCTCCCTCTCCTACTTCAGGTACCCTTATTACACAAATGTTTTTTCACTTAATTTTGTCTCAAAGACTCCTTAAATTATTATGTTCTTGACTTTTTATTCACTCCGTTTATTCAATTTAATATACTTTTCATCTTAGATAATGTGTTCTTCATTTCTGACTGGTTCCCTTTTAGAATATCCATTTCCATTTTTATGTTTTTTATCTCTTTGTTAAAGTTCTCGCTGAATTCATCTATACTTCCCCTAAGTTCATTGAACATCTTTATAACCAGTGTTTTGAACCCAGCGTCTGTTAGATTGCTTGACTCCATTATTTCTGGATCCTGTTCTGTTCTCTCATATGGTTTTTGCTTCTTTGTCTTCCGATTTTGTCTGCCTTTCTGTGTCTGTTTCTGTATACAAAGCAAAGCTCCTAAGTATCCCGGTCATATTAGCGTGGCTTTGTATAGTAGGTGTCCAGTGGCCCAGTCCTGAGAGAGGTTCAGCTGCAGGCCAAGTTTAGCTCCAGCCTATGTCCCTCCAGGGCCGCCTGTTGAGATTCAGCAAGCAATCCACAGATGCTGTGCTTATAGTTGCCTCAAAAGGCCACGCCAGAAACCGAGGCCAGCTGCCATTAGCGTGAGTCTTGGTGTTGCTCAGCGAGGATGTGGCTTGGATGGAGCCCTGAGTTGGGGGAGACGGAGTTTCATGGAATCCTCTGGGTGGAGCAACCAGTTTGATGATGGCACAGCTATGGCGGCACTGGATCTGCACACTGGGATGGAGAGGGTTCAACAGAGGAACAATGGATGTCACTGGCATTTCTGCCCAGGAGAAGGCCTCACCTCCGGCCCTTAGACAACTCAGTTGCCCCCCTGTCAGTCCTTGGTGCCCTCTACACAGCTGAACCTGTGCTGGTGCTCAGAGCAAGCAGGTCCATCACTGTGAAAGCCCGCTTATGGACACGGCCCCTTTAAGAGGCATCTGCCACTGCTGCAGCCTTTGTCCCACTCAGCTGCTCAAGACTGGGCAGGCTCGTGTCCTCACCCCATCCTAGCTCCTCCCATTGCAGGGTGATTTCTTATTTCTCTCCCTAGTTGTAGGGCTTGTTTACCAGAGGGGTGAACAGAGCCTGTATCTTCTCCACCATTTTTTTTCTCCTCAACAGTACCAATATTATTACTAAAAAACGATCACTGAAAAGAGTTCAGGATTTCTTTCTAGTTCTTTTTGTCAGATTATTGTGCCTCTTGAAATAATTCTTTGTAGTTAAGCCACTAACTTGATACACAGGTTTTTTTTTTTTCCTATTTGTTTGCTTTAAATTTTAGGGATTTATTTTTTTTATTTTCCATTTTGGTTAAATTTTGTTTTGTAATTTTTAAAAATATTTATGTGGTTTCAAAGTCAAGTCTACAAAATAAAAGTACATTTAGAGAGGTCTAGCTTTCTCCTCTGTTCCCTCTAGCCAGTTTCCTTCTTCCTCTTATGGGTAACAGGCTTTATTCATTTTTGCTTATTTTAATAAATGAAAAGATATTTGTACCTCCATTTTCTTAGCTAAAAGGTAGCTTAATATGGACACTGTTCTGCACTTTGTTTTTTTTCATATAATAATATACTTCATCTTTTATAGCTACATAGTCTTATTTGGTATAATGGATTTTACAACTTTTCGTTTTTATTGGCATGAATAATTACCTTGTTTTTCCATCAGCTTAGTTTTCTATGAACCTAATGCTAATTTTTTTCCAGGTGCTGTAAGAGTTTTGTCA